TCATTGCCTCACCTATCCGTAACCCCAATTTCATTAATCATATACCTTCCACTTTACTTATTCTTAATTGTTTTAACAATTCCTGGATTAATTTTCTTCTGTCCAATTGGACTCATCGCTCAATACGTTGGAAAAAAACAGGGTGAAAATACCATGTTATATGATGAAAATTCATTATCTGTTACGCGGTGGCCTGGTCGATATGTAATAGCTACGTGGAAGATGATGACAGGAATCGCTTTATTTTTAATATTTGATTTAATTTATTCAATATTAACTATACATTTCATCAAAAGATTTGGATTATACGATTTTGGCGAACATGTTTTTATTTTCGGTTCTTTTTTATTTTTTTTCTTTTGGACATCGGTTGCATATGGAACCATGTTGCTATGGGAAGGAATGCGTTGGGTAGGAAAACGAACATGGGTTTGTTTATGGAGCCTTGCAAAACTAAACAGAAGAAGATATTTTATGTTGCAAAAAGAATTATTATCAACTAGAGTTTGGAAGTGGTTGGATGATAACAATAATTAATCTTTACATAATATATAAATATATTATATTTCTGTATACTGTAATTTGTATATTTCATTTTGTAATTTACATGGTACATTGTAAGAAATTGTTCAAGCTTTTATTATAATATTTAATCACGTTAATTTATATTTCACATTCCAATAATTTACATTTCTACAAGAGAAAATTATGCAATATATTTGATACATATATGTAATTAAATAAAATGGAATGTATTTGTAAAAATTACAATTTTGTATGAATATTATTATATTCTACTGTACTTTAGTAATAATTAATGTTTTTTTTTTAAAAAAATATAATTAGTAATAATTAGTTGGTTGCTTTATAACTTAGGAACATCGACACAGATCCAGAGGTTCTGCCTGGCGGTACATCCTTTAATTTTAATGTAATTTTATCGGTCTCATTATCTCCATAATATGATAGGAAATGTAGACCAATTTCTGCTTGTCCCAAATATTCATCCGTTGTGTACTTATTATCAAAATTAAATAATGAGACTTTTAATGTATCCTCTAGTGTTATTACGGAAAACATCAAATGCTAAATAAGGATAAATCAGTTAAAAATAGGGTCAAATTAATGAGGAAAAAAAAAAAACACATTTATTACCTGATTCCAGTGCGGAAATGGAGTACCTTTAACAATTTTTGTTTTAAAGACTTGTCTACTCAATTGCACCTGGCAATATGCATTTAGATTAAAATTTTCTATATTGAAATTAAGATCATAAGTTAGATCTAAATTATAAGTATATACCATTGTAAATACTAACCATTTTCAAATGGAACCGCACCATCGTACACTAAAACCCTGAGTGTGCCACTAATGTGGTCATTATACATGGGTGAGGAGGAGCTTTCTGTAAATTGTGTGATTATTATACTTAATATTCAAAGTAATAAGCCATTCATAAATTAAGTTACAAATATATGCTATTCGAAATAAGTACCTCCTTTTTGATTCTTCCTTTCCATTGCTAAACAATATCCACTCGCTGTTTCAAGTTGATTAACCCACTGTCGTTTTACAGACACATTACTTGCTCGAAGGTTTATAACATCTTCAATATGAACCACTTGAAAACATGTTTCATCTACAAAAAAAATAATAAATCACAATACATAAAAAAACTCATCATACGCAAATAAGCTTATAAGTAAAACCAACCTGGTCCAATATCTTTTACAAATATTTCATTCAAAGGTATTGGCTACATAAAATTAGCAAAAAGTTCAAAATATTTAATTTATAAAATAGGGCTAGCTCAATATTAAGAAAGAAATAAATTACCGGCTTGTACAACGAATATTTGTGTCCTTTGGCAGTTGCTTTTTTGTTCGCATGACAAAGAAGTAATATATCATTAAAAAGGTAGCCAATTAAATTGCGTCCACTTTTAGCTTTCTTTAACGCTCCTTCAAGAAGAAATTGTCGTTTTCCAACTAGACGAGTCATACTAGTCAAGTCAAGTTTCTTTAAACGAAAGCCGATAAGAATTTTTTTTTTTTTACAAATAATAAGTAATAGTATTCATTAACAAAAGATCTACCTCTTCTAAATTTTCTAATTCCACAAGATTTGATATCTCTTTCAATTTCATCTGGTTTTCTTGTTCACGTGCTGCCTCGTTTGTTTCTTCCAAGATTTTTTCGGCTTTATGAAGGGCCTGCATCATATTTTGATGGTCGTTATTGTCTTTGCTTGTATAATGCAATATCTGTCAACAGAAAGAATTTAAAAAAATGATCAGAAATATAAAATTGTTATAAAGGAAGGAATACATACAAAATTTTATTACCTGACGTATTAATAGGGGATATCTAGTAATTCGTTGTAAAGGCTTCAAAAGAAAGCTAGAAAGATCCAATGACCCACATTTCGGATCTTGCTGACTTTTCTATAGCATAATGAAGTTATTATATATTAAATTGTCAATTATTGTTGTCTTAAATTTATAAATATCTGTTTTACATTGTTAAATGCGGGTTACCTTAAGGAAATCAGCAAATTTTTTTTCTACACTACTTTTTTTTTGTAAAAATTTGCTTGCATTCAGTTGATTACCACAATATTTCGTATATAACGTTAAATCTTCAGAATGTTTGAGTAAAATATCGCCAACTTTACTAACAAAATAAGAATCCTCCTCTTGGCGTTGCTCCAGATCGCTAAGAATGGCAGTATTACATAATAGAATGTCTTGAATATTACAAAAAAGAATTGATAATTCTTGTTCGGAAAGGAGACTTTGAAGAGGACCATAAAACACGCTAATTATTATTTGAAGATCACGAAGATATATTTGCTCTGTGCTTATTAATTCATAAATGGCTTCTTGTCGTTTACGTTCTTCTTTAGATATACTTTCAAGTATTTTAGGGTCAATTATTCCTGCCCACAAGGGCGTAGAAGGTCCCTTTTATTAAAGTAATTAAATGGGCACATAAAATTTTAAGAACCAGTCAAGGACTACCTTTTGACGACGAAAATTGTAAAGAAGTTTATAATTTAACATACTTGGACTGCCGAAGCTGGACTTTCTGGTCTTTGCGGCATATTTTGTGGATTTAGGCTAGAATCTGTAGAATTATTACGCTCTCTTTTGAAAGGTATCCCTTGCATCCATGGAACAGTGATGATTGGGCTAGAACCAAATAATCTTGTTGGACTTGGACTTCTTGTAAATTCTGTAGGTTCTGATGAATTCGGTGAAGCTGATATAGAATTTATTTCTATTGGACTTTTTATAAAACTGGCATTTTTAGGAGATTGAATGC